GGTGTAAACACCGATGCTTGCAATTGCAGACAAGTGTTGTCGTACTTCCATGCTACATAAACGCCTGGAATTGCGGAGCTCAGTGCGCTGAGTTGGGCTGCCTAAAGACATGAACGCCCCTTGTTTCACACGGGGCTCCCAGATTTGCTTGAATTCTTGAAACTCCTGGCGTCTTGGGATGGGAGTTTTGTCCAACAAATCCCAGAATGAAAAGAGTTGGAAGAGCGAGAAGAGAAGCAAGAGAGAGAGAGAGAGAATGCCTGGATCTTGGCATTGGGCCCTGTGTCAGACCTGTTTCAGACCTGCTTCAGACCCCTGAGGACCATCTCATATTCGCAAACTCCTGCCCCGAATCCCTAGCACCAGTTCTGCGGTGCAGCGGCCCGTGGAGAAAGAAAGCAAGAAAGATACGAACACAGATTTCCTCAAATGGTGTTCTTGGGATGGGGCCCGTTTTCAAACGAATCCCAGAACGACCGAATGGTTGCGGAAGATGCAATTGGCAACGAACAACAAGCAAATTGACAAGAACGACTTGGGCCTCCAGATTGAAGGCGTGGGCCCTCGAAGTGGGTGAAGCATGTTGGTCCGTGGTGGCTTCGGGGAGGCTTCGCAGAGGCTTTGCGGAAACACAGCTGCGTGTAAACTGTAACGCTCGAGCCCATGTATCACTGCTACATTGGCTCTGGCTTTCCTTCGCCCGTTTTTATTTTCGGAAACGCAGGCGGGCCGGGCCAGAGGCAGGCTTTCAAAGCCTGACGCAAAACACCTATCTAAATCGGGTATTTAAATTGGTCGGCCGGGCTGGCGGTAACGCTGGCGGAGGTAGTGTAAAACCTTTGTGGACCTATTGAAGTGTCCGGGTGTTTTAGTGGCGATGCGTAGTTCGTAGTATCATGCAGCCGTGTGTGCCCCCAGCCCATGTCACAATACGTGTTCGTGCTCACAATGCTCACTTTGCCTGCAGCAATCCCAGACATGATGTGGCCGGGCCTCTTCAATAATTACAATTCAAGCAAAGAGGAGGCGGTTTGCGCGGCGCTGTTTGTTGAATCAGTTTGCCATTTCGCTTGCGAACTCGCATTTTATCCCTCCTGCGATTCCAGGATGTGATGGTGTCGCAGGCGGGGTCAGCCAGCATCCGACTCACACTGAGTCAATCACACGGTTAGGTACCTGTTGTTTGTGAGATGACAGACCAGCCTGAAATTTGTTGACACGTTGGGCCCTTATCTAGCGTGTTGGGGTTCTCCTTGTGAATACGTTAACTTCTCCTGCGACCGCGCTAGGTTGCAAAGGAACATTGTATATCCTGTCGGCGCGAAGGCGCCTTGAGTCATTGTGGTTACAAAAACGCGTTTGCGTGTGGGTTTCTTTGCATTCAAACTGGTCGCGACGCGGGTTTCTATCCGCTGCTGTGGCAGTGGTTGGACGGACTCCTGAGGGCCCAACGGGTAGTGAGACAGATAGCGCCCATGCCTTTGGCAGGGCTGAGATACAACAAGAGCCACGATATGGAAAAACAGTCAGGGTTGCATATGTCCCATGCTAATGCTGCCTCATGTCATTTAAATTTGGTCTTTTCGCACGACGCTGTGCGTCCAGATGTGAGCGCTTGTTTGCAGCACTCTTCCCAGAGGTTTACGATGAAGGGGAAAAAGAGACTGTAGACGGCGCATCGGTCAGTAAGGGTTCGACGGCAGGTCACCCACTGTGCATCTTGCAAGAAGAATTGAGCAAGCCCAAGAAAAGGATGTCTCCAGCACGAAGATCCAAGCCGCCAGAGCAGTACCTTGTGCTTCGGCTTTTCATCTTCCTCTGCGCTGCGGCAAACGCATCTCCCGAAAGCGCCGGCTTCCAATGGTCTGAGACAATACTCAATATTCTCGTCAGCACGCTCCTAAAAAAAGTGCCCAGCACAATATGCAAATTGCTGTTGGAGGTTGCGCACATGCTTGCATAGCTTGTGTCTGGCTTCTGTTGGCCAGCAGTCCCAACCGCCCCGCTCGTAGCACTTAGCTAAATGCAGACGTAGATGATGCTCGCGGGGCGCCTTTTGCAAACAGCCCTTGACGCAAGGCGGGCAACATCGCCGCGCCGAAGGTCGCGCAGGTGCAGTAGAACCTGAGCTGTTGGCTACTTCGTATCGACGGGAGCGGATGCAAGGATTGCTGCGCAACAGGCCCACCGCAGCCTCAACGCAAGGAAAGACATCACTACGCAGCGTAGTCACACCCAGGATGCAGCAAGACATCTCATCCTACCTGCCAGGCGTAGAAGCCGAGGAGCGGTAGGAGCTTCTTCCACACCTAGCCTGCAGATCCCTTTAGACTGTGCCTTTTGAAAGCGGAGCGTGGAAGCATCATCCCCATGAGGGCGGAGAAGAGATCTGCGCGTCACTGCGCTGCCACTTCACCTCTGCCACTGACCGTCCAACACCTGAGCGCTAGTGCCTTCCGTAGCTTCAACATTTCCTCCGACGTAACGCCGCTGGAGATGTAGCTGCGCGTGCTGTCTACACAGATCTTGCCCACAGATAAAACCGCTCGCGCAGCAGGGCAGGCCAGAGCGCCGCTTGGGGCCGCAGCTCTCTTCCGTGTTTTTTTAATTCAGCCGGCCGACTCCCGCAAGAAAGTGTCGTCCCAAGTTCGCATGGACAAGCTGCTTGGAACTCCCTGCGCGCGCGATGCTCTGGAAGTGATCATCTGGCTTGGCAATTCCTGGCCTGATGCCTTTGCGACTCATGCCACGATGAACCCCGCGCACAAGCGACGTGGCTTCAAATGAGTCTTGGACGCAGGAAGCTTGCAGCCCTCATGATCTGCGCAGAGATACTTGCGCAAGACGTTCGTGCCCAGCAAGTATGGTAGGAGAGGAGATCAGCGTTGGGCATGTCGTTGCGAGGGACGCAAAACACTGGAAGCGAAGCGCGCGCGCTCTTTAGGCTATTACTTCCCTCACCACAGCGTATCTCATCATTGCTTTTTCCGCTGACACGTGGCCAACACGTTGCCAGCTGTCGCTTCATCTGCGTTGATTACGAAGCTGAGCACTTTCCTGCGCCCGCGCAAGCAAAAGCCTCGCGCTTGCGCCAGCAAGCGCTTGGACTACTTTCCTTTTGAAAGCACCAGCGGGCCGCTTAGCATCCGTCTTGCTCTTCGCTAGGCGCTGCAGCTTGAAGCATGTAGATGCAGACGACGCAGCCAGCTGCCGCACCATGCAGCGCGGTGACTGTGAGGCAGACTTCAGCCACGGCGAGCGACGCGTGCTCTTGCCAGGGTCGCGCTGCGAAAGTCTGCAGACTGCGCGCTTGACGTCGGAAATAGATCAAAGGCATTCTTTCGCCGCGCTGCTCTGGTGTTGTGCTGGACCTGCTTCTCTGAGCTAGCGCTAGCAGGCCGGAAGGCCGAGATGATGAAAGGAGATGTCCGTTTCAATCTGTTTTCGAGAAGAAGTAGTCGGGCCAGATTCGCCAGATCGTGGCGCCTCTTGGCAACTGATGTTTTCAACCCTGAGTCGCCAGAGTCCGTTGTTACGGTTGAGAAAAAACACTCATCGATGGCGCAAGCAGGCAGGAGTGTATGTGTACAGCCTGACAAGAGGAAGGTCGGGAACAATGCGCCGCAACATGTTTGGCGGACCAGCCTCAAAGGCAGCATAAGAACTCAGGCGCTGCGCCACCAAATGCTTGCACAACAGCATGTCCTGTCAGCGTCAAGAAGCCAAAGGCCGGAAGAAGCTAGACACAGGACCACGGAAGAAGCGCAGGGCTGCGGAGATAAGTGAAAAGAAGCAGTCGCGCCAACTGACCCTCAAGCCATGCCTCAAGCCATATGCAACCCATCAAGGCTTCAAGTAAGCGCAACCCACATAATTTTGCGCGTCCGGAAACTTGAAGCCAGCGCGTTCCCAGACGCAGGCCATCGGCCTTCTAACAAGCCTCTGCGGAAAACGGGCGCGCGCAGCCACACACCCAACGAGAACCAGCGCTCACAAAACCAATGGATCCACTGGCGCTCCACGTCTTTGCTCACAGCCGCCACTTCTTGCTAGAGCCAGTTCTTGAGCGCCAGGGCGCGCGCTTCCGCCCGCCTTCTTCAAGACGGCCTGGAATCTCTTGCGCCATGAGTCGCCCTTGGCCGTCAGCTCATCCAAGCTAGTCGCGATGTGCGGATCAAAACATGCTCAGGGATGCTGCGTCGCCGCGTCTGTCTTGGCAACCTTGTCCACACACGCACGAAGAATGGTCAGCGCATTTTTTCGCGGAGGGCTGCTTCTGCTCTTTCTGCTGGACGTGTCGAGGAAGCACGCAGACATCGCCAGCGCGGCTAGACAACAGCCAGAAGCGCAGCAAACGATAAACTGCCACAGACATCTACAACATCTACGCTCACCAATGAGTCAAGGCTCTGGCTCATTGCCCTCGCTGTCGCTGACCAAGTCCGCCGTCCAGCTTCCTCTGACAAAGGGATCGGCTGAGCAGTTTTTGGCAGTGTTGGGAATGATCTCCTTGGGCGTCCTCTTTCGTCCCTTTCAAGACGAGTCTCCCCGACGTGTCCATGACCACATTCTCATTTGTTCGAGAGCAGCGGAGGCACGGCCCGAGCACGCGTTTTCCTGTAGCCCTGCTTTGCATAGTGCTCAAAGGCTGGAACACACCTCCGCGTTCTCGGAGCTGCTGCAGATCACCATGCTCTGCTTGAGCTCCGCGACAAGGGGTCTGACCCAGTCTTCTTGAAGAAACCTTCCTCAAAGCCACGCCGATGTCCTCTTTCGCTGCAAGCAGCGGGGCTTGGGCGTCCGACATCTATGAGTAGCTTAGAGCGTAGAAGCGGCTGCGCTCAATCCCCGCATTCCACGCCGTCAACAGCAAGAACCCATCGACCACCTGCAGACACACGCGCAGACGCAGAGAGAGAGACAAACAGACGCAAAGACACAGACACAAAGAGAACCGCGCGAGTCTGCGCGCAGACTCTGCAGGCAGACAAACAACGAGGGCCCCCGTAGTTATAAGTCAATTGTAAGAGGGGTTACATGGCTTTCACATAGCCTAACATGGTTTATAACTAGGCCTATGTCATGGTAACTTGTGTTGAACCTAGAAGTAACCTATAGATGAGTTGTCCGAGACATGGAAGTAAGCCATAACTTCAGGAGAAATAAACATGACTGGAAGTTACGGAAGTTATGAAAGCCCATGTGTTTGTAAGATGTGTTACGGGTCATCTGGCTTGGCTAAAACAGGGCCAGGCAAGGGACGCAGCCAGTATCGGTGTTGCATTTGAGGTGTTGGCTGCGGGTCAAATCGACCATACGCACGTTGTGCGATTGTGAGTTTGCGGTTCTGCAATGGGCACATGTACTCCTTCAAGGTCAAAACTATTCCAAGAGGGCACGTGTCAGAGCCTTGGTTGATTTTCTTGGGGCACGAAGACTGTAGAGACTTGCAAGGCATAGTTTCTGGCCACGTCAGCAGCTGGGGAATGCTGCCAAGAGAATTGCTTGCGCAGAGCGCGTAGTCCGATTGCGCTTGGCGGCGGTCCTCGACAATATCCACATGTCTGCGGAGTCAGCCATGTTCTTTTTGTCGGCGGCGGTCCGCTGTCAAAGCAGTCATGTGCTTAAAGCTACTGCCCGCGCATGAGGAGCTTTTTGGCACGAGCGTCTGTTAGCCTTTGTCTTTTGGTTAGAAGAGTTGGCGGGCTTCATGACTGCTCCTTGGCAGACTCTGCCAAGGCGCAGAGGCTTCCAATGCAAGCATGGGAGCAGTGGCCCATGTGTTTGCCAGCCTGGATATGGACTATGGTTCTCGACCAACAAGTGGCCTGCATGACAGTGCTGGATCACATCGTCAGGCACTTGTGCCGGCTGGGGTTGAAGACTCCATCGGAGCAGTCTCAAGCTGTATTTGCTCGCTCTAAGAGAGCCGAAGGACCGATAGAAGATCCACAGAGCTTGCGCGTCTTGCTTTTGAACATCAAGAGTCAGCTTCAGTCGAACCTGGGGAGACTCAAAGGAAGTGGCGTGTTGGAGGAGGGCGCCCATCTATCGCGGAGCACGCGTTCAAGCTCGTGGCCTTTCCGCCGGATGGCGTGCCCGTCGTCCCCGGAACTTCCGTGGA